GGGGGCGGGGGGGCGGGGACGGCGCTTGGCGCCAAGCGCATTGTCTCCTCAGCGGACTCCCGCCCCCATCCCACCCCGCGCCTTTCCCGCCAAGCGCTCGGCGCCCCGGCCTGCCGTTCCCCGCGCCCTGGAGAAACCCCACACGGCAGCTTCACCTGGCTCGCCTCGGGCTGAGCATTTCGGTGACTTTTGTTCCCCTCACAAAGGACAATTTTTTTCTTGGATTACTTTCTCCCCACAGAAATCGAAGGTACCTGCCCCCGGCGTGGAGGATGAGCCACTGCTGAGAGAAAACCCCCGCCGCTTTGTCATCTTTCCCATCGAGTACCACGACATCTGGCAGATGTACAAGAAAGCCGAGGCTTCCTTTTGGACCGCCGAGGAGGTAACCCCATCCCGGAACCAGGAACTCGCCTCACTGCGCTGAGCCCTCTGCAGGGGTAGGGGCGGCGCTAACTCCACCGAACTGTGTTGGCATTCCCCGGGTGCGGGTCGTTACCCACGAGGGTGTTAGGTGTTCTAATGGCAAAGGGGTTCCCTCCGTGAGGACTATATTAAGGGGTGCTAGTAGACTTCAAAGAGGAGTTACGTGTATCACGCCTCTGAGTGAGGTCCTTCTGCTTTGTGCTAAAATCGAGAACTTCCGAACCTCAGGTGGATCTTTCCAAGGACATCCAGCACTGGGAAGCCCTGAAGCCTGAGGAGAGATACTTCATATCCCATGTTCTGGCTTTCTTTGCAGCAAGTGATGGCATCGTAAATGAAAACTTGGTAAGTTTCCGAAAACATCTTTCATTCATTTGAAGAGTTAAGGTAGAACTAGTTTGCTTTCCTCATCTTTTAAATTTTCCCTACTTAAATGCATCTGTAAGCTAGTATATGTGATTACGTGGCATTTCCTGTGAAATACTTTGCAGTTTGTTCTTCCTTATGGTATTTTTTCCCAGACCGGAGAGAAACTGAAAGACAACGTTAAGTGGTGGTAATAGGTTTACTCTTGGACTGCCACAGTTGCTGTCTTTTTGTGTTATTACTGTTTTAATAATTCGGTTATGCATGGTTTATTGAGTAGGTCCTTCTAATGTATTAAAGAATGACTCAATCAAGTGTTCATAGAAACTGTAGAACAGGAATTATCTACTCTCTGTATATTGACAATGTGACCCAAAACGTTGAGCTTTATCAGAGAATTGTGAAGGATTGTCTTAAATGTATATCAAAACAAACCTTGTACTGGTACAAGGAAGAAAGTGATGTTACTATATAGTATCCATAGACTTTGGCTGGAAGTTTTTCCTCAAGCTTAACTTTGATGTGTTTGACCTTGACCACTAGGTGGAGCGATTTAGCCAAGAAGTTCAGATAACAGAAGCCCGCTGTTTCTATGGCTTCCAAATTGCCATGGAAAACATACATTCTGAAATGTATAGTCTCCTTATTGACACTTACATTAAAGATTCCAAAGAAAGGTAAGTATTTAGGTTGTATGCCAAAATGTGTAGGACTCCCTAATTGTTTCTTTATTTGAGTTTTTTAGTTCATATTGGGATAAAAATGACTTCCAGACTGACTAAGCAGTCATAGACATTCTTAGCACCCACCGTCATGTCTGTTCAGAACAAGGGGCCTAAATTTACTTTATTTGCCAATCACTTAAAGTTATGAGGACCAGCTATGGTGGTGTGGAGCTATGATTATGTGCCCTGCAGCCTGGGACCACATGGGAAACCTAGGTTCAGTTTCCACTTGAACCTGAAGGCTGGGCGTGGCTTGGATTATAGTGTGTACCTGTAATCCAAGATTTAGTAGGCTGAGGCAGGAGTACAACAGCAAGACCCAGCCTAAAATCAAGAACGAAACCCGAAACTATGAGCCTACATCTTTTTTTTTTTTTTTTTTTCCTAAATAGGAGTTGGAAGCAGAGTCAGCCTCATTCTGTATTTGTGGGCTCCATATCTGTATTCACCTGCAGATCGAAAATAGTCAACCAAACAATAAAATACAAGTAAAAACCCCAGTTCTCAGTACCAGGGCTAACAGATGGCATAGCAGTTATGTTGCTGGATCTCCACATGACCAACTGCGGTTTGAGTCTCGTACCTGATGGCTTGAAACTCAAACAGGGCGCATGTGCACGCATACCCAAAATCCCCAGAGGAGAATGGAGCAGGGACTGCAGTGTGGCCAACCAATGGGGGCGATTTCTCACTTTGTCTCATTGTCTCTGGCTAGTGCATGCACCCTACAGTAAAAATCTCTTAACAAGACAAACCCAATATAGTAATAGCTAATTACATAACATTTACAATATATTAAGTATTATGAGTTGCCTAGAGGTGATTTAAAGTATACAGGAGGTTGGGACCAGAAGTGGTGCAGTGGTAAAACTTCTGTGAAGCATCTCCATGTGGGAGGTTCCCTGTTAAGTGTGGAGACCTTCCTGAGTACACCAAGTACACACTCTTACCCAGGATCCGAGGCTGCCTAGGGATCACAGCAGCATCAGGACCCTGTTAGGGGTGCTGTCTGTCCTTTCTGATTAGTTCATTTAAGAAATCAGCTTAAAAAGTGGTGTACTGGAAGAAGTGTATAGGTTACACGGAAATGCTATACTATTGTATTACTTTTAGATTTTTGTCATAGGGCACATGGGCTTGCCAGAGAGGAGAGGAAAAGTGAAACTATGCTGCAATTCCTTCTCCATTCTTCTTTTGGGATTTTGGGCACACATGCACATGTGCCCAGTGTGATTTTCAAGCCATAGGATCTGGGACTTGAACCTTGGCTAGCCATGGAGTCCAGCATCTTAACCACTACGCCACCTGCTGGCTCCACTATACAATTTTATATAAGGGACTTGAGCATCTGGGTTCTGATATCTGTAGGGTCCTGGAACCAATCCTTCCTGGATACTAAAGGGCAACTACTGTTGGAACAGCCAATTTAGTGCCTACAGGTTGAGTGATAAATAATCCTGACAGTTTTTTCACTCATATGCAAAGGTTTTGAGAGCCTATAATGTGAGGTTGGGTTGGGGGTGGCATGGGGTGGGGGTCTGGGTAAAGTAGGATGTAACTTGCCTCTTGAGCTTGCAATATGGCACAGTGTGGCCTAGTTGTGTAAGCGGGGGATTATGTAATGGAGAGACAGCAGTGGTAGTTAATAGTAGGGGATAGTATAAGTGGCTTAAGGTTTATTTTATGTTTTAGAGGTTGATTCGGGGGGAAATTTAGAAATGGGCTGTTTGAACCATAGGCACTAAGGCCAGCTTTACGACAGGATCCTTGTATTGGGCAGAATGGCAGAGCAGAAGCCTGCATTACGACTATCGTAGATTGCTTGGAAGAATAAAGAGGAAAAATTATTTTGTTTTATTTTAGAGGTTTTTGTTAAAGGGCATGTGCGCTCGCCAGAAAGACAGAGACAGAGAGACAGAAAGTGAGAAATCACCCCCCCCCCGGGGGGGTGGCCATGCCGCAATCCCTTCTCCATTCTCCTCTTGGGATCTTGGGCATGCATGCACATGCACCTGGTGTGAGTTTTAAGCCACTGGGTCCGGGACACGAACCATGGTCGACTACGTGGGAGTCCAGCGACATAACCATTACACTAACTGCTGGTTCCTAAAGAGGAAAAATTGTAATTGGGAAGACTAGCTGGACTGAGGATACTTTGGGGGTGAAAAGATTTGAACATGTCTAGACAGAAATGAGGAAAGCAAATACAAAGGGGTAAGATAAGGACTGGTGGTTAAGCTTCAGAAATAAGGGGAGGTATGGGACCAGCAGTCAGTGTAATGGCTATGTTGCTGGACTCCCATGTATCCGGCCTTGGTTCGAGTCCTGGACCCGGTGGCTTAAACTCATGCTGGGCGCGTGTGCGTGCGTGCGTGCCCAAGATCCCAAGAAGAGAATGGAGGAGAAGGTATTGCAGCATGACCATCCCCCCTTGGGTGATTTCTCGCTTTCTGTCTCTCTGTCTGTCTTTCTGGTGAGCATACGTGACCTATAGCAAAAAGAACTCAAAAGAAAAAAAGTGGGGGGAGGCAGACTTGGTCTCAAATGGAGGGCATGGAGATAGGAAGGGAATGGAATGGGCTTGATGTCTGATCTTGGCTTCAGATAACAAGATCATCTGAGAAGGAATAGGCTGGAAAATTCAGGCTGGACTCCCAAGGTGGGCACTAGATAGAGGAGGCTAGTCAGGATGGCCCAGTTAAGTGTAGGGCCAGTGGATTTCCTTCCTGTTCTGGCATCAGCAGTATAGCACAGAATTGTAGTGAAGTGATCTTAGTTGGAGTTTTATCAGTTTAGATCCATGGCTATGGCAATTGGGGCCTACTTAATGCACTGTTAGGCGGGGTGGGCAGAGTATGGGTGGGGACTATCTATTTACTGGGATTATATTAATAGCATAGCAGTTAAGATTTTATGGTGGGACCAGCAGATGGCGTAATGGTTAAATTGCTGGACTCCCATGTAGTCAACTGCAGTTTTAGTCCTGGACTTGGTAACTTGAAACTCAACGCCAGGCATGTGTGTGTGTGCGCATGCCAAAAATCCTAAGAGGAGACTGAAGAAGAGATTTGAGTCATGGCCATCCCCCTCTGTCTCTCTGGCGAGTACACACACCCTACAATAAAAAATCTCTTAAAGATTATATAGTTCTTCAAATTTGAAGAAGATAGGTGAACTCTGATCTGAACTTGAAATAATTAAGCTATCACATTCTGGTTTAATGAACTAAGTTTTAGTGTTAGACCTGAGAGTTTACTGTGATTTAAAGAATACGTAAGTTTATGTTAACATAAATGGGCTAGCTAGTCCATGGCTTAGTGGTTAAGGGAGTGGTAGGTATCCCATGTGGTTGAGTGTAGTTCATATCCCTGGCCCTGACAGCTTGAAAAATACTGGGCATTTGTGCATGTGTCCCCCAAATCCTGACAGGATGGAGAAATGGAATAGGGATTATAGTATGACCACAAACCACCAAGGGGTGTTGTATCCACAGCCTCCAACCCTCCCATCCCTGCCCCATATCTGGTGAGTGCCTACTGGATCTGGCAATTAAAAACCAAATCAGTGTTTAAAAGAGCACTATGTAGAAGTGTGTGATTACATGACTTGGTGGTAACTGATAATGTTATATGTGCCTATTAGGGAATTTCTCTTCAATGCCATTGAAACCATGCCTTGTGTCAAGAAGAAGGCAGATTGGGCCTTGCGTTGGATTGGGGACAAAGAGGCTACCTATGGTAAGGACATCCTCAGCCCTTCTTAGACCTGACCTTCATTTAAAAATTACTGTTGCTGGATTGTTGACCCTTCCTATGAATACTGACAGTTACTCACTGAAACATCTTGGTGTTAACTCTTAAATAGGAGAACGTGTTGTAGCCTTTGCAGCAGTAGAAGGAATCTTCTTTTCTGGCTCGTTTGCATCAATATTCTGGCTCAAGAAACGAGGACTGATGCCCGGCCTCACATTTTCTAATGAACTGATTAGCAGAGATGAGGTGAGTTTAAATCAAATAACATGCTAACTTGCACCAAAATCCCCTACCACTCTTAGACACGTGCTCTTGAGTTCAAGATAAAGATAATATTATACCCACATTTAAGGTGTGAGTTAAGCCATATACATATGCAGCTAAGAATGAAACAGTTTCTTTCAGTAGTTTACTGAAATTATTCAATTTTTTTTTGAGATTTGACATAGGGCACATGTGCTTGCCAGAGAGAGTGAGAAATCACCCCTTAGGGGGATGGCCATGTTGCAATCCCTTCTCCATTCTCCTCTCAGGATTTTGGGCATGCATGCACATGCACCTGGTATAAGCCTTAAGCTGCCAGGTTTAGGACTCAAACCACGTGAGAATCTCGCTATGTAACCATTACGCCATCTACTGGTCCCTTGATGTATGATCTTAATATATTATAATAACATTTAAACATGTTGTCATATAAGCTTAAAAGCACAAGACTATTACATTCTTTTTTTTTTAAGAATTATTTTATTTAACTTTATTTATTTATTTTAATTTGACCAGAGAGGGACAGAGTGAGAGGGAAAGTGAAAAAGCAAGCTTCCAGGTTCAGGACTCAAACTGCAGTTGGCCATGTGGGGGAGTCCAGTGCCCATAACCACCAAGCCATCGGCTGACCACAACTATTACATTTTTTTTTTTTTTTTTGGAGAGGTTTTGCTATAGAGCGCGTGCACTTGCCAGAAAGACAGAGAGAGACAGAAAGCAAGAAATCACACCCCGGGGGCAAGGCCACTCCACAATCCCTTCTCCATTCTCCTCTCAGGATCTTGGGCATGCATGCACACGCGCCCAGCATGAGTTTAAGTCACCAGGTCCGGGATTCGAACCATGGTTGATTACATGGGAGTTCAGCGACATAGCCATTAACTAACTGCTGGTCCCAACTATTACATTCTTGATGGAAATTTTTTTTGGGCCCTATGTGTGCTCATTGAAGGTGGAAGAAAGAGAGAGGGTGACAGAAAGACACAGTGATAGGGAGAGAAGTCCACCCCCCCAGGGTGGATAGCCACATTACAGTCCTTCCTCCATTCTCTTCCAGGGATTCTAGGCATGCACACACATGTGCCCAACCTGATTTTTAAGCCACTGGGTCTTGGACTCAGCCATGTGAGAGTCCAGCACCTTGACCACTATGCCATCAGCTGGCCCCTCTTGATGAAAATTTTAGGGGATGTTTTATTTTTGTCTGATATTATTATAAAGGGTTGACAAAATTTATGGAAAACATGTATTATGAACAAATATACATAGAACTCAAGTGTTGTTTTTTTTTTTAAGTATTTTTTAGAGAGGGTCTATTTTTTGGAGGTTTTTGCTGTAGGGTGTGTGCGCTCGCCAGAAAGACAGAGAGACAGAAAGTGAGAAATCCGCTTTCTCTCTCTCTTTCTGGTGAGCGCATGTGCCCTATAGCAAAAACCTCTCGGAAAAAAAAAAAAAAAAGGGCAAGAAATCACCCCCTAGGGGGGATGGCCACACTGCAATCCCGTCTCCATTCTCTTTGGGATCTTAAGCATGTACGCTCATGTGCCCGACCTGAGTTTAAGCCACTGTGTCTGGGACTCAAACCGCGGTCAACTACGTGGGAGTCCAGTGACATAGCCATTACACCAACTGTTGGTCCCAAGGTCCTTTTTTTTTTTTTTTATAAAGAGTCTTTTGCTATAGGGTGTGTACTCGTTGGAGAGACAGACAGACAGAAAGCAAGAAATCACCCCCTATGGGGGATGGCCACGCCACAATCCCTTCTCTTCCAGTCACTTCTTGGGATTTTGGGCACGCATACACATGGGTCCAGCATGAGTTTTAAGCTGTGCAGGGTCCAAGCTCCAAACTGGCCAACTATGCGGTAGTCCAGTGACATAACCATTACGCCATTCTGGTCCCCTTAATAAGGATTTGATGCTGTGATCAACCCCTAACTATTTATTCAGCCCCTAATCATGGGTGGTATGTGTTGTGCCTGGTATACTCAGATGTCTTGGATACAAACCTGGAACCTTCCCATGTGGGTCAGCCTTGCGTTGTGTCACATTTTACTGCTGCACCACTGTCTGGCCCCCTTATTTCAAAGTTGTTTGCATTCAAATAAGCTTGTACTTGGAATTCATTTTACGTGAACTTTTTGAAGTCATCTCGTGTGTGACCCTACTGTACTTCAGTAGTTGGTAAGCATCTCAATGAAATGAGGACTCATTTTGGACCATGCTGTCTTTGACAGTTGGCTAATCTGAGGAAAGAAAATATGGTGTCCAGACTTTCTAGTTGAAGTCACATTGCAGGGCAGGGATCATGAACTCCTACCTCATACTTGAAATCCAGTGGGCTAATAAAGCACAGTCGATCTTCCCTCATAGGAATATTTTCCTTCCTATATAGGAAGATAAGCTGTGAGACTTACTAATTGAATGCACTAAGACTTGGATATACTTGATTTACTTGAAATCGTATCACTAATTTCCTGAGCACCTAAAAACCAGCCTTATCACTGATTTTTGCCTTTCCTGCTGGAATAGCGGCACAGTGAGAGCTGCTGGCTGTACAAATACTACTACAGGTGAAAGTTTAACTCTGCTGCTTCGCAACAGTGCAGAACAGACCTGGCTTGCTATTATCTAGGTGACAGCATCAAGGGCCTTGAGTGGGGCTGAACTCACCTCTCAGTGACATCAGAGCAGATGAGTAGTCAAAAGCATTTTTTTTCCCTTTGGGCAGTTTCAGTGCTCTCTGACTGAGCAAGTCGTATAAGGAGAATGCAGAAAAGGATAAAGTGGTATTACCTTCTATGCTCATGTTAGAATCTTCTGGCTGTAGAGTGATCTTGAGCTTTGTCTACTAGGGTTTACACTGTGACTTTGCCTGCCTGATGTTTAAACATCTGCTACACAAACCGTCGGAGCAGAGAGTGCAAGAAATCATTGTCAATGCTGTCAGGATAGAACAGGTGGGTGATGTGCGTGAGCTGCGCCTGCTTGCTAGAAGCCCCTGGGATGCTTCTGTTATATTCAGCAGCTGTATTTTGACCCATAGGAGTTCCTCACAGAGGCCTTGCCTGTGAAGCTCATTGGGATGAACTGCACTTTGATGAAGCAGTACATTGAGTTTGTGGCTGATAGACTTATGCTGGAACTGGGATTTAGCAAGGTAAAGTATTGTACATACAACCTTCTGCTGCTTTTGAAAGTGTTCTGTGTTTATATCTTGATGTGAACCTTTCCAGGTTTTCAGAGTAGAAAATCCATTTGACTTTATGGAGAATATTTCACTGGAAGGAAAGACTAACTTCTTTGAGAAGAGAGTAGGCGAGTATCAGAGGATGGGAGTGATGTCAAGTCCAACCGAGAATTCTTTTACCTTGGATGCGGACTTCTAAGGGAACTGGAGGTGCTCTTAAATTGCTGATTTTTTTTTTTCCCCTTCTCATCAAAACGAAAATCAGCAAATGTATATCAACCAGCTACACCATAATTGTCCATAAAGTTCACTAACGGCATCTTTTACACTGTGTAGCTACCTCAGAATCAATCCTGTTAGACTGGTGGTATCCCCTAGGAAGGAGGATACTTAAGATGAGCAACTGAGAATTTACGAAAGACCTTGTCCACATTTGGTTTTTGCAAGCAGGCTGGCTGGCTGACTTCATTGTACAGGGTGTGGCAATCTTGGCTTTACAGCAGGACCCAGCAGGATCGAACATTCAGTTAACTATCACAAGCAGTTAAAAGATGTCGGCCTCACTGCCTCACAGCAGACATTGGTTTACTTAACTAGTTAAACTGGCACTTTCCACACAAATAAACATTGTACTGATTTGTTTTCTACACACAACACAAAGTATTCTGTTTACCACTAATGGGAGCCAATTTAAAATGTAAGTGACGATTTAGACTTTGGTAGACGAAGCATGTAATTTCCAAGTTTTATTTTCTTTAATGAACTGAAATACTCTGTAATCACTTTAAAGTCAGTCTTGTGCATACCTTGATATTAGTTTGTTGGTGCCACACAGGAGATAGATTATGTTTTTATCCTGTAACCTAGGTGGCAAATCATGGGGTCTGTGCCTCTGCTGAGGTCAAATATTGTGGAATAAGAGATGAAGAGGAATCTTTCAGGGTAAGCAGCTTCTAACTTAAGTCATTAGGAACTGAGGCTTGATCAGTCCTGGCTGCCAGGGCCCTGGGTCTAAAGATGTGTGGAGCAGTATCATTTCATTTCTTAAGTTGTGTTTTCCCTAGCTTTCAGTTGGTGTAAAAAGATCCTTGAGTCTTCTTAGGTGGGCTCTAAAATGGTATTAATTTTCACATTGTCCTGAATGAGATGGCTCACTTAAGATCTTGCTCCTGTTAAGTGGTAAAACCAGAACTTATTGGTTCTCATAAAAATTGTCACTATTCTGATTTTGTTTAATTTGTGTGTAAGAAGTAGGTACTGTAAAGACTTACTGCATTTATATTTAATATTTGTCTTTTAAACTAGACATGTATGTTTTTTTTTAACATGTATGTCTAGACTTCACCTGTAATTCACTCTTTGAAGAATAACCCAGTGTTATCTCAAGGTTCATAATTGACGAGACATTGCTCAATGTAATTCTAATATTTGGCTAAATCCGAGTGACACATAGTAACTTCTTAAACAGTAGAAAACTAATACATGAGCTAGTCATACATGCTCCATTCAAATATTTTTAGAAGGGAGTATATACTAACAGACTTAAGAGTTAGTTTGAATTAACCTACCTTTATTTTTGGGGAAAAGAGTTGACAATACATGCAAGACATGATTTTCATTGAACCTTTGGCCCCATTTGTATTGTATATTAGCTTGTTTGAACACTGACCCATTATATTGTCAGTTTTCTTCATTTATTATGTAAATAGATAATTTTTTAATTCCAGTAATTTGGAACCATTTATTATCTTAAATTATTGTAACCTACAGCTAATAAATACAGATTACATGTTCCTGACGCTGGTAGCGCTGGGGTGAAAAAAGGCATTGCCTTGCACTGTCAGGTACAAGTGGAAGTCAGAATCAGATTTTCGGATTCTACCTGCCATTAGTTGAGTCATGCGAAAATTAGCTTCTGCCCACTCAGATTCTGTTTCCTAATCTGTTTAAAAGGAAACAGTTTTCATTGTAAAGTATTCTAAAGTCTCTGGACATTGAGTATTGCACAAGTCTTACACAATTGAAATAAAACTGTTCTTATATAGTTCCTTGATTGATAAAATTTGCATTTTAATTCAGGAAGAAAAAATATTTGTCATAAAAATTGTGAGTTCATTTGCCTTTTGTCAGTTTGAGGAAGACTTTTCTCATGCCATTCTGGCATGAGGCGTCTGTACAGGAGACACAGGTATGCTTGAAAGGCGTGGCATGAGAGCAGACCTGGACTGCATGTGAGGTTTATTAAGCAGCTGTGCAAACCACTTCTGGGCCTCCATTTTCCCATTTGCAAAAGAGATGATGGGTGAAAGGGCTCCGCAGCCGGTGCCTTCAGCTGACCCGAATGGACTTCTCTGCAGGGTTCAATCAGTCCCTCTGCTCTAGAGACTGAAAATCCTACCACCTTCATAAAACTTTATAGAATTCACTACCATTTTTCCCAAACTAACTGGTCAGTCCTTGTGGGTCCTACCACTCTGATCCAGCACCTCGTCGGGCGCTGTTGGCTGTTCTAGGCACAGAGTTGAGGTGAACCAGAGGAGAAATTTCCCTCCTGGTGGAGCTTCCATTTACTCCTAGAGAGGAAGATGGATGCAGACGTAAACCTGAGGGGTCCGATGGCGGCACAGTCGTGGAGCAGTAGAGAATTAACATGGGTAGGAGTAATGAGGGCTCATTTCTCCATGGAGGAACAGAAATTGAGACTAGGCTTGCCCAACTGCTCCTCCTGGCTGTGTTCTCGTTAAGATTCCTTCTATGCTTCCATGTGACGGAATGTCCTTTCCAAGGGCACAGGTTCTCACCCATTTCTTCAAGAATCATACTCCATGACTGGTGAATAAAGCAATAAACTGGAGCTGAGGAGTTTTAAATGGGATGCTACTAAAGGTGTGTTTTGTGTCCCAGAGGAACCTAGTGGAAAGCTTTGCCTTTAAATCCAAAGGCAACCAGGACATGTCTGCTTTGGGCTAGGGTGGTGGCAGACCCACAGAAGAGGATCAGGGCAGCCACATTCAAGATTATCAACTGTTAACCTCCCTGGGGACTAGCAGGTGGTGTTATGGTTATGCTGCTGGACTCCCACATGGCCAACTGCAGTTCAAGTCCTGGACCTGGTGGCTTAGCTCTCTAAGAAAAGAAAATGCCTCCCTGTAGGTGGGCCATAGCCTTGTTTCTCTGCTTCTCACTTCTCCCAGTGGTATGGACACTCCCACATAAAACACATCACTGCTCTGGGAGGAGGACCAGCAGCAGACTGGGTATAGTCAAGACTGGAGTCAAATAGATTCTGGTATCCAATAGACTCATGGGCCTTGCTCCAGATATACTGGATCAATTTGGAGGTGAAACCAGTGAATCCTTGTTTTAAAGTCATCCTGAGAGATTCTCATTCTGAGATTTGCATAGGGTGGACTTCTGACAAAGTTTAAACCAGTGGTTTCAGTACTGGGTGTGTGTTGTAATCATCTGAGGACTTTTAAGAAATGCCAATGCCTGGGCCCCCTCTTGGAAAAGACCACTCTTCTCAGTTTTAATTGAATGTGTTTTCTGCCTTGTACATGCCCTAGATATGCTTATGTAAGGGTTGCATTTCATTGTGCTGGACCATGTGCATTAGTCAAGCCGGGGTTGCCAAGATCAGACTGGTGAAAACCTTCCATCTCCACCCACTGGGCACAGCTGCGGCCTCCGATTCAGCATGAGGACTGGCTCTTGTAAAGAGGACCTAGACAGGTATTCACTATGCCATCTTGACTGAGGAGCTGTGTTCTATTAAGGGTTGCTGCCATGTGACCAGGAACTGGGGATAAGAGTTTTCTAGACTCAAGTGAAAACCCTAGCCCAGAACCTCTCAGAACCGTGGTGTAGGAACTCTTACAAGATAAATTAACAAAGAGACCCATACATCAATCAGAATCCCCAGATGGGCTCGCAATTCTAAATAACAAAATATGATGCAACCATGTGAGTATGCAGGAATGGTATGAAAATCCCAAGAACTAAAGGTGATAAGACAATAGGTAATGTAAAGTGGTCAAAGGGAAATCACCAGAGCCTGAACAACAGTACCAAGTGGTCAAAGGGAAATAACCAGAGCCTGAACAACAGTACCAAGTGGTCAAAGGGAAATCACCGAGCCTGAACAACAGTACCAAGTGGTCAAAGAGAAATCACCAAAGTCTGAACAACAGTACCAAGAAGGATAAACAAGAACGGGAGACAAAGCTCTTAGAGCTATAAGAAACATCTAGCAAGATTTGATGTAGCAAGGAATGCATTAGTGAATTGAAAGGGTAATACATAAAGGAACTCTCCAAACAATAGATGGAATTAGGAAAGACTTAAAACAGGAATGC